AAAGCCTAGGGCAAAGGGTTTAATGAATGAGATCGAATGGGTGGCTTTTCCTTATTTTATTTCTTGATGAATCACTTAAACATCCACTTTCCAGTGTACATAAGGATAACTGACCTAGGATATAATCTCTCTTATAAGCAAGGAAACAAGCTCACACCTTCTTCCCTCTCCATCAGTTATATGGGCTTCAGACACTTTAAGTTAAACATAAAGTCTGAGTGTAAAATCATGTGTCCTGCAGAGGACAGTGATTCTCACCAGCCTTATACTTGGATCTCATTTTCAACTCATCTATAAATGGACAGTTTCCTCCCCAGCTAAGTATCTCACAAGGACACACACCAAAGTGATGATGGTACTTATGTGTGGTGAGGGGAGAAAGGGCGAGAACTGAGGGTGGGCCTCACAGTGGACTTTAGCCTTGTCCATAAAGGATCTGGTGGTAAGACAGATAAACAGAAATAGTCATCATTATATTAAATTTAAAAAAATTCAGTACTCTGCATCTTTACTCTGTTCTAGGTAATCCACTTCCTTTGCCCTGATGTTACTATGCCTTGTTTTGCCCTAAGCTTTTCCAGTTGGTCTGTGTTACTATACGCAGGTATATTTTTAAAATCCTGCCCCCTCATTTATTCCCACTATAGGGTAATATGTTATTGTATTTCCTTTTGAGTCAAGAGAATGTATAAGTAAATGTGTTTATATATAATTTTTATCATGCTCTGGTAAATAAATATTACATTGAATTTACTCATTTTTGACTTCCAAGCCTGCCTCAACCTATAAAAGTGATTCCATACACATACTTAGTACTTCAGAGTTCACAAAGCACTTTTATTTTCCATCTCAATTCTTCACCTCCCCACCCCCCACCCCAGCTTTCTTGCTTTTCTCTCCTCTTTTTCTTATAATATAGCCAATCACTCATTCCTGGAGAGCCTATACCTATATAGCAGAGTGGAAGGATTATCTTGACAATGTTCAACCGCTCAATTCCCTCTTTTGTCATTGTATAGCCCCTAGGGTGATAAGGATTTGCAGGGAAAAAATAATAAATGGGAAATAAGCCTTCATTATAACGTGGCATTATCCATAAGATAGGCTTGTTTATAGCAAGGACCAGCATCTAATATAGTGCTTTCACAATCATTTTGCATCTAAAAAATAAATAATTAGAATTAGGAGAAGATGAAAAACACTATCTGCTTAGAAGCTATTTGTAAGTGACAAGAAAAAGCATTTACAACAGCTTTCTAATTTGTCTCTTTTGACCTCTTTCTCCTCAAATATGTCTGTCATAATTGTCAGGGTATTTATAAAATACAGATTTAATTTAAAAATATGGCTCTGATTAGGAACCTTTGGTAGATCAATACTATCTACTGAAGTAAGTCCGAATTGTTTAGACTGATGTACAAATTCTTTCAAATATGTTCCATCCTACCTTTCCAAGTCCATCTGTATCCTCTATACCAAGGAGTCTATGTTCTGGTCATGCAGTGATGAGGTAATAACCAGTCCCTGAACTTCCAGATGCCACCACTCCTCATGACCCTTCCTGTGCCTGCTGACAAAGAATGCTCTGGCCAACCCTTCACTTGTTAAACTCCTACTCATCCTTCAGAGTCCAGCTTAAATGCTGCTCCTCTGTGAAGACCTCTCAGATGAGACTGGGTGTGTTCAGGGTGGTATGGCCATAGACATGAAGACCTCTCTAAGCAAGATTAATTGTCCTACCCCCGCTGTACCCATGACCTTTGGCTTAGATAAATAAAAAACATACCACAACAAACATTGATTTGTTGTGTACAGGTCTTTCTTTCATAGCCCATGAAAATACTTGAAGGGCAAGACCATATTGTATTTACTCTTGTAACCTCAGTGTCTAGAATGGAATCTATTAGACAGCCCATGCTCATTTTATCAATGAATGAATCATGCATTCATAGAATGACCATTTTTTAATGCTGCAAAAAGAACTGCTCTTATCACTATTATTAAAGCCCTTGAAAGTTTGCTGCTCTCTCTTAGTCACAGAGGAGGACTTGGAGAGAACACTAATGTAATCTCCTCTTGATCTCTGCATGGCAGGGCTGTTCAATTCTCAGGGGATTATCACTGCAACCTACCTATCTCCTTGGAATACTTGGTATTAGGTAATACTTGGTATTAGGTTTGGTATTAGGTAACAATTACTAAATTACTTATCAGCTTTCTTGTGGGAAATCCTTAATTTGTTTTATTATTCTTTTCTCAGTTCTCTTTCAATGCTCCTATCAATGGGTAAGCAACTAGTGATCATAAATGGGCAACCCCATTTGGCATGTGGTACTAAATTCAGAGTTCATTTTTCCCCCATAGTCTTGGAGATGTGGAGGCATGAAAGAAATACAGGAGGAGGATGGATAAAGACACATGAATTAGAGAAAGGGAAAAGTGCATACGGCACCATTAGGAGAGAAGGTTGTCTACAAATTGTGCCACAGGCAATAAAATATATAAAAAGAAACAAAGAAGATTCCTATAGGGAACATGGTATAGTGCAATGGTTTTCACTTTTTCCCCTGTAGGAATGGGAATCTTACTCCTAAGTTTGTGGTGGTGATAAACAGTTGTCTAGTGCAATACTCATGTTTAGTAACAGGACCTTGAATTCACGTGGGGTAGCAACATATCCAGTTCTAGGACACACTACCAGCTCCTGTGGCAGTGCAAAGTACAGTGGCTGTAACTCCTGTGGCTGTAACTAAGCACCAGTCAATAAGATATAAATGGAAGTGATATGTAGGGCTTCAGTAAGTCTATTTAATAGTGAAAGGGTACAGCCATTTTCAGTATTTTCTCCTTCCTGTTGTGTAGAATGCAGATATAATGGCTGATATCAAGCAGCCATTTTGGACCATGAGGAAGCATACTAAGAAATGGTAGAGCAAGACAGAAAAATGCCCAGATCCCTGGCACTAAGAAGCATCACACCTGCCTCGCCAGAGCTGTGGAATCCACCAGGACTGCCTTTCTCAAGACTTCTAACATGAGAAAAATCAACCTCTATCTTGTTTAAGCCACAGTTATTTTGATTTTTCTGAATTTACTCCTTATAATAAAGAGCCCTTGTCCTCGAAGAGCTTCAGATCCAGAACAAGAATATTTGGCACAATGTGAAGATCTAATAGAAATATAAGTACATTTAATTATGTACTTATGTAATGTGTAATTATGTATAAGTACATTTAATTATGTACTTATGTTCTGTGTAATTATTGAATGTATAAATAATCGAGAATCAAGGAATATTTTAGATTTATCAGGAAACCTAACTAGTTAATAACAAAATTACAAATAGTTTATGTGAACATGAAAACATGAAGAAAGGGGAGAAATAATGCATGAGGCTACTAATATTGTTACAGATATTTGGATTTTTATGTCTTACAATAACCTAGTAATAATTTTGAGATTTAAACAATTAAAATAAAAAATATTTTAAACTAAAAGCAATAACTTATAAATATTTCTATGGAGAAAACTATACTGATTTATCTATATTGCTTTTTTTTTAAAGAGGAAACTCAACAATTCTGTTCATAGGCCCTTGGATATGTGGATTCTCCTCTCTGATCCACTAAGTACTACATGTGGAATCTTGGGGAAATCATTATCATTGTACCCTACTAACATGAGAGTATTTGTAAATAAACTTTGAAGTTTCTTCTAGCATTTAAACTCTGTGGATTTAAGAATGGATTTGTTTCAGTGGATGCCATACTGCCCTTCTCCAGTCTGATTTCTGTGAATTCAGAAGTTGCTAAAATGAATTAGTTATGTAGCTTTTATGTGTCTATTTCTGATGACATGGAGGGCTAAGGTAACTCCATGTTCCCTTAGTAACTGTAACTCCAGGTGACTCCAAATACCACCCTTTTCCTACATTCCCACAGTGGCTTCTCCATGCACATAACACCGCATTTCTTAAGGTGCTATACCTTTCAGTTAACATGTCTGTTCCCCTACAGATTTCAAGCCCCTCGGGTATGGCTGGGAGCTGAAAATGTGTCTCCCTGGTGCCAAGCACAGGCTTGAGTACACAGCAGGCGACTTTGCTGAAGAGATGAGTGAGTGACGGAAGCTCTGTGTAAAAAGATGCTGATCCTAAAAGAAAATGATGGCTAACCTTGTGACTGATAATTTGTACTCTTGTCTCTTTTCCAGGTTAGGATTTTAATTAATTTGTGACATATCCACTATTCATAAAATCTTTAGAAAAGTTTGATAATTTTTGCAACCTTTAGGTTGTTGCCAGATTAATTTAGCCATCAACAAAAAAATGCATGAGTTTCACCTGGCATGGATTCACAGATATTGTTCTGTCACTCGATTGTGTACTATCCATGGGCACCTTCAGACCATCCTGGGAGTCTGGGTGAGAGGGTGTGAGGACTGTGGCTCTGTCCATGTTCAGAAACTGGGGAACTCTGTGGGGAAACCCCACCTGAAGCCCTTAGGTTAATGAGGCCAGGCCAGTGCCATCAATGAGAATTACTGACTACCTCATACATGGTATATATGTTGTCCTAGATACCCTCTGAGCCAATGACACACCCCTCCCTCGTAAGTGAGGGAAGTGACAAAGAACTTGTGGCTTTAATTCCAAACACAAACAAAGCTCTTTCACTGTCTTCTTCCCCAGTGATGGTCTTTACACTCCTGAGTGGGTCAAAGAGTAGCTACTGCCCAAAAGTCAGATGCAAATCACCCGGCCCCTCCTCCCTGGGTCCCCCTCCACCCCTGCTGTTCTAATGGGGCCCCCTAAAACTGATATCAGAGAACCCCTCATGAAGAACAAGAGGTGGTGTATCATTTATATATGCCTCCTTGTGGAGACACACCAAATTGTAAGCATTTGAAATAGAAATATTAAGAGTTTAAAAATTCAGAACTTTAAATAAAAATGATTTCAAATAACAATGAAAGTAAAATATCAGTACTAAAGAGCGTACCGCAGTACCCTGGGGTCCCACACACCGTCTTCATGAGCACTTGGTGTTCCACAATTTTGGAGAGTCCAAAATCAGCTGGCAACACAAAAAAACAATTAAGAAAGCAAGCTTTTTTTTCCTCAACTGTTGTTAGATGACAGAACACTTCTCTTATTTAAAATGCACCTAACTTATTTATTTTTTTGTTTTTGTATTTCAAAATGGGATGGATATAGATGGGGACCAGTCACCAGGGAGAGAAAACTAAAAAAAACTAATAATAATAATTTAAGTCTTGCTTTAAATTAGAGAAAAATGATTCCTAAAAACATTTTATACTTTTCTCTATCATTTCCAGCTTTTAGCAAATAAGCTATTTCTTCTTGAAGTAATGGTTGGAATAGATATATTTAGTTAAATATTAATTCTGAGATTTATGAGACTAACTCTAAGGACAATGTAGAATTAGTGATATAATTCAGAAATTTTCATCTATTATAATAAATCAAAATAAACAATTAGACTTTCATGAATGTCAAAGAAATGAACAGAAACATTAAAAGGTTTATTCTACTTCAAATAATGTCATTCATTAGTGTATTTGACACGTAAGAATTCACTCTCCTATGAAGAATATGGCTTTATCTTTTTTTTTGTAAAAATCCTTTTTTTATTTATTCCTCAGAATATTACATAGATAAAACATTATCAAAAGTTGCTATCATTATGGGGTCTATTTGCTGGGCTACATCTGCACCACTCAGCAAGCACCAGGAAACCTTTTAAGGCCATTCTTCAAGAGAGGCAGGTGCAGAATGGATGCCATTTTAGACTTCAAAGATAAACCCATTTCTCCGTGGAGGTGCTGATCCTTATCAGAGAAAGCAGCAGGAAGTCCTTCAGAAAGCAAGGCTCTCCTGCCTAAATTAGTATCTATCCATCCATTTAAAGAAATATTGTTAAGGATAAAATCTTTGAAAGTGAAGTCAAAGGAGATGGGAGCCTCCCGCGGTCTGCTGCTTTTCAGGAGCGATTATGAGAACGCGCGGGCTGCCCAGCGGGGCTGCGGCACTTTGTCTGCAGGGTCTCGCATTCATGGAGCACATTATGCTGCTTGAGCCCTTCCCGCGAATCAGTGTAACTTAATTTTCAAAGGTGTTAACACTTATGAATGCAGTGAACCCATCGGATTTGCACTATAAAGGAGAGCACCAAGAGAGCAAGGTCCTTTGGAGGATTTAATTAAAAAATTTTCAAACCGTGTACAGGCCTGACAGCATGGATTCTACTAAGGAGAATCCATCTCCTTAATAGATAAATTTTACCTTTACTTTTAATAATAAATTTTACTTTTTTTTTTTTTTTGCAAATGAAGATTTGCTTTGGAAGGCAAATGGAAAGTAATATTTAATATACTCCTTTTTTCTAAAATGCTAATTGAAAAATCTGTTTAGGTAGAATCAGGATTTCCCAAAGTTCATCACTGCAGTTCTTCAAAATGCCTATTGGGGGAAAAAAACAAGGTTTTGGGGAAAAGCCTCATAGTCCACTATATTAGATATCAGTGTGCACATTAGCATTTTTAAGGTTTGGGGGAAATCCTGAAAAAAAAAAAATCTTGTGTGTGTTGGTATTTTCCAACTTATTCGATCCATTAGCACCTCCACAAAGCACTTGCACCTTCCCCAAAAGGAAATTATTTGCCCTTGTTTACTTCGCCGAAGAACGAGCATTCTGTGGAGTACACTTCGGGGAATGCAGATCTCAGTTGATCTCTGTTTGTGTAAACGGGTGCCTCAGAGCCTAAATTCGCTGGTAGGCACTAAATATTTTGTGTCAAAGTTCTTGATTATCTAAAATTAGGCTCCATCTAATCTGTGGAGTAAAAGTTAATAACTAAAAAAAGAAGTGTTATGTTATCTGTGATTTTCTTCTATACAAACATATTCACAAAATACGAGGCCACCTCCAGAAATTCCTGCTATTTTCAGGAGCTGTGATTCCTTAGTATGCCCAACAATGGGACACTAACTTTAGGCACTAATTCCAGATTAATATTCCAGACTTCCAAACTGTGCATTATTCCTTTACGGACAGCAAACATTTGAGGAAATTAAGTGCAGGGGAAATTGGATGGAGCCATCATTTAAAATTCTATAGAACACATTTCTCCTGCTCTTGGAAAAGGGGTGAAAGTCCTCACCGATTTTGAGTGGCGCATCGGGGGCTGGAGTTGCATAGAGAAGATTCTCTGGTTTGAGGTCACGATGGACAATCCCATTTTCATGTAGGTACTAAACAGGGAATATAATGAGGTAACATTCATGCAGTCACGTTCATGGTTTCAACACTTATATTTACCATTTTCAGAATTATAATAATCTTTACTATGTTATGTGATTCAATAACACACATATTATGATTTAAATACCATAAAGAAAAAATGTTTTAAACTATACATTAATCTCCAATAACTTATCTATAATTACCTGAAAGTGAAAAGCAATCTAAATTATATAGAACCAATTGCCAGAAATAAAATATTTGTTCCTCAGAGAATATTAGTTGCAGTTTTCTTCATGCATATCAGCTCAAATTGGCTAATTATTATTATAAGAAAGTCAAGGTGTTGTATCTTAAAATTTGGTTTATTATCTAAAAAGCATAATGGCATGTGTCAGCTTATAAATTCACAGCCATGGCACAGACTTGGGATTATTGTTGAAACAGACACATGTGAGTAATTAATAGAGAGAACACATCCAACCTATGACAACGTGCAGGCCTCTCTCCTCACAGAGGGTGTCCGCCCTCCCCCCTCCCCAAGTCCCATCCCCTCCCACTGCTCCTGCCTGCAGCCAGGCCACATTCATGTACCCCCTCATAATTACTCTGATGACTAGCTTAATTGCCTGCTCCCCTCCAGCCCATGCTCCACACAGTCACGAGAACCTTTTTTTCTTTTTAAGAGAAGACCTAGTCATATCACTCCCTGCTTTCCTTTGCTTTTGGCATGAGTAGCAGCAGTCATGTGGCATTTGATTTTGTATCTCCAGCAGGCATCACAGACTCTCCAGGGGCACGACAGTACCATAAAAGAATGAGGGAAGTTGGAAGAGTGTAAAACAAGAGGGAGACACTGGGGAGTCCTAGGGACTGCATCTGTCCCTGGAGAGAGCATGATCCCTGAAGAGGCTGAGGTGACCCAGGTTCAGCTGCTTGTTGCCAGGCAGGAATTCAGGTCCCATGTTGTTAGCTCTTCTGATTTTTTAAGTCAAGATAGAAATTCATATTTTTAAGAAAATATTCCACATTTTCAATGGCGATGAAGTGGTACATCACCACTTCAATGGTACAGGGTTTTAAACCCTGTACAGGCCAGACAAAACACTCTGCAGTCTCTGATTCTTGCTTTGGCATTGAAAACAGTTGCTGGCACTCAGTAGATGCTCAGTAAAAAATTGTTAAGTACATGAATACAATTTTTCTTCTGACTCTGCTCCTTCCATTAAATCCTTACTGTGGCTGAGCTGCAAGCCCTCTCTTTTGCGGTAAACTCTCTTTGACTGTTTGCCTACTCCTTTCCCTTCAGCTTCTTGTTATAGCTCCCCCCATGTAAGTGTGTGTGAAAAAATTGTGTGGTAGGATTGTGATTTTATTTTTTCTTATATAAAATTTAACTATAAAAATTATATATTATTACTTGAATGATCCATTTTCTAAAATAAATTTTATACAACTGGCAGGCATTTCATATTTGCTTATCCTGAATACCATCCATCTGCTACAAATGATGTGCTCTGAATATGAATAAACATATTTAGTTGGTAACTATGTTTGGTCTCAAATTAACTAAACAAACTATGTGATTACATTGCTAACAGTTTGAGAATATAAAGACTATTCCAATGCAGTATCCTAAAAACATGTTCTAGTTCGAGCCTGTTCCTCAGGCTCCAGGATGATTTATCCACCTGCCCATGTCTCATTTCCAGACGGCCGTCTCACAAGGACCTTCAGTTCTCCATGTCCCAACCCGAACCCTCGACCTTCTTCCAGCCCGGTCCTTCCAGTTTTTCCCACCTCAGAATGTGGCGTCTCAGTCAACTCAAGTGTTCAAGTCAGAAATTGGTTCTCTCCTCCTCCCTGCTGCCTCCATCCGATTCACAACAGAATGCTGTTGCTTCTGATTCCAAAGTGTCTCCTGCACCACCCTGCCTCACGCCATGCCATTCACGAGATCTAGCTGGATCATCACAGCAGTCCCTTTGCTACTCCTTCGATTTCCAGTGTGCCCACACAGCAGCATGGGGGACCAGGCCATTTCTCCTCCTTGGGAGGCTCTTCTGTGTTTTCCCAGTACTTTATTCGAGCTTTGAAGGCCTCGGTCATCTGGCCCCTGCCAGCCCCTCCAGTCTCACAATCTGCCACTTTCCCTTTACTGCTCTGGTCTACTCATACTGGTTTTCTTTGAGTTTCTCAAAAGCCCTAGCTTCTTTCCCAAATCAGCATCCTTGTCCAGCTGCCCTTTCTTGTTGGAATGCTTTCTTACCCTTTTCCACCTGGCCAGTCTTCCTCATTCTCAGGACACAAGTATAATGGCAGTTTCTCAGGGAGGCTGTACCTGCCCTTCCGAACTACCATACATGTCCACTCTTATTTGCTCTTATTGATTCCTCTTATTTTCCTTTAGGGAGTGCCTGCCTGTGTCTTTGCAAGCTTTATGTTCAGGATGTCTCCCTCACTAGACTGGGCAAAGACAAGGACAAAGAAATTTTTGTTTCCCAGATCCTTAGTGCCTGGCAAGAAGTATGCACTCAATAAATACTTTTGAATGATTAAGAAATAACTCAATTTTCCTATTGAGAAACTGAAATTCCTATTGGTATAATCTGAACTTTTATTCACTTGCAATTATTAATTTATAATAGAAGTTAAAATTTGTGTGCTTACATTGTTATGCTAAGTTGCAGAGCAATATCATTTTGGAACATTTGGCTGTAATAAGGTTCAGCATCTGTATGCTTATGAAACATATCATACTTACTGTTTAATAATACTTAGTCACTTCACTGAGCATCAGTTACATGAATTAGATTTATAGTGTCATTTTGAGAAAAGCCCAAACCCAATAAGAACATTTTAACTGAAGATAAGGCAAAACAGTTTAATCTTCAAAATCATATTTTGAATAATTACATAATCAGCTTTTGTTCTCCTGTAGTAGCATTAAGTTGATAGTTATGGCTGAACTAATTTCTTCACAGCCTTTGAAGTGGATATGAATATCCAATACAGCATGTGCCTCAGGGGAATTTGTGTAATGACAGTCGAAAATTCATCTGTTAGTTTTCTCTTCAGTTGCTCCATGTCTGAAACATTCATAAACTGGACTTGCCAGTGTGATAAAATGGAGCTGAGCCGGGATTCAGCCAGCTGTAGTGGCACTGCGGTGACCCGCGGGCAAGCCGAAAGGCCTCTGTAAGTGAAGGTGCCTCGCTGGACGCCAGTGGTGAGCCCGAAGGTGACTGGGCCTGCTGCTGTCCCTGCAGTAAGGTTCCCGGGTGCACGCTGCTGCTTTAGGTTTGGGCGTGGCCTAGAAGTGTCTGGATAAAGCGAAGCTCTGCAGAAAAACGCTTGTTGGAGTGACAATATCATGGGGAAAGTGAGCAGGATGCCAAGAGAGGGTAATTACGAGCACCACTGGGTGGGGAGACCTGGGGTGTCATGCTAGAGCAGTCTTGGGGGAGACGTCATGAAGAGCAGACTCCAGTTCTTGTTTCTGATTTTGGCACAAGTCTCCTGGTGTACAAAGTCAGAATAAGGGAATGTGGATAATTTTAACAGGCTACAAATTTACTTTCCTACCTATTTATATGTGTGCATGTCAGAAAACTGTATGAAGTATATGTTTTTAAGAATGGTGTATGTAGCACTGGTGGAAAATGTCACTTACCTGTACCATTTTCCTTAGATGCAACTCCATGCAAAAAACATTCATTCTACCAAGACTTCAGTGAAACACTTATCACTGCTTTCAATAGCCATTATTCAGTGAATAGTTATCACTTAAAACTCAGCATTATATGAAAAAATTAATGAAAAAAGAAATGTGCCTTGATTTAAACAGATAAGTTTTGCATTCTCTCTCTGTATTCTCTGAGAGAATACAAAATGTAAAAAACTGAAGTAGTGTACATGTAATGAACAAATGAATCAATATATACAATGTATTTGTCTATAAAATGAGAGCAAGTGCACGTTGTGAGGCAACTTTCCAGGGGCCTGTTGAGATTGATTAGAGAGAAGAAGCATGTGGTAAGCTCATTCTCTTACATCTGATGTATGTGTTCAGATTTGAGGAAAGATGAGATTTCAGGTCTGGAGGCTATGAAAAGTTTTGACTGAGCATTTTGAATTCCCACCAGCAAGGAAGGAGAGTTCCTGCGGCACTACAGCCTGGCCAGTAACTGGCATCCCTGCTGCCCCAGCTCTGTCTCAACACCCAGGAAAATGAGGACTAGACTCCAGAATGCCAAGTTCGGCTGCCACAGCTTTCCTTCTGCCCTTCTGTTTTCACACTGCTGCTCATCAGGAAATGAAAGGGAAGTGAATGGATTTTTATCCCTGGCACTTCCCTTGTTTATCTATTAATTCATTTTGACTGGGCAAAATCCTGGTGTCTAGTGACTGGTAGCCAGCAGAGTTGGGTATTTTTCTTTTCCAAAATATATGTTTTTAAGGATGCGATCCAGGATGGCAGACAAGCAAGTGGAAGTTATACTATACTCCCCTTAGGACCTATCTGGATTACAACTAAATTATAAAGAAATCATCCTGAATAACAAAGTGAACACTAGCTGGAGAAAAGCCTTATAGCCAAAGAGAGAAAAAAAACACTTCACCACAACAAGACCACAGGGAGTGCAGAAGAGGTGCAAAAGAGCTGACTGAGCTCCCACAGGTGGCAGCTTAAGTTCTGAAGGGATATTTCAGTGGCCGGAGGGGTTCCCGCTGAGAAGTGTGGGGTCTAAACCCCAAGCTGGGCTCCCCAGCCTACAGCACCAGAGTCAGAAAGGAATCCAGATAATGTTCAACTGTGAAAAGCAGTGGGGTTTCTCTCTGCCAGGCAGAGGCGGCTAAAGAAGCAGAGAGCCTCTTATAGGGCCAAAACAAAAAATTTTGTTTGCAGCCACTGAACTCTGGCAGAGGAAGGGCAGAGTGCCCTAGAGATGCTTGAGGAGACGCTGGGGTTGGAGATTCTGGGGAGAGAACTGAAAAAAAACAGCCACCG